GTAGGGGCAGGGAGAGTACATTGAGGATTTAATTGATGCTGGAGTCTTTTCTTTGATATTGATACTCACTCCCTTTTTATTATTAAGGCATCTTCCTCCATACCCTCTGAAAGATTCTTTGATGGTATATCAAAGACTTTTTTTGGTTGCATGGATTAGTTGATGTTAAATAGATGAGGTGCTATTCAAGTTGTGGATTGCTGTGACTTTCTTGTTCTCTGAACATGCTTGTATAAGCCAACTCACCCAATTGTAGTACAGTTTCTTCTGTGCTCCACTTTTCTCGAATTAAAATCCTATAGGTTGAGGTTACTCAAAAACTGAGGAAATTAACTGGATGAGAACTGAATTTATCTATATGGTTCCCATTCTCATTGGACCGGTGCAATTGGGTAATTGAAGCAACTGTTGGTGGAATAGAAAGATGCATCCTGATACAAAACCTGTTTACTGAGTGATGCATTCTAGAACTTAGCTGAAATTCTTTATACAGACAACCTGAATGACACTTCACTGAGTATGCAGCACAGACATGTTTGTTTTATCAAAATTTGTACTTCTAGGGGATTAGTAAGATCTAATTGAGTAGTTTTTTTTTCATTTACTTTTATGGCTCAGGATTTCTGAATCATGATAATCTTTTTAGGCACCCAATATACTCAACAATCTTACAAAGTAAGTGACTCTTTCCCCTTTAAGTGGATAAACAAAAAGTGGAGAGAGGGTTTTTTTGTCACCTCGATGGCAACTGCTGGAAGCCGATGGGGTGTTGTTATGTCTCGCAATGCAGGCTTCAGTGATCAGGTTTGATCTCGGACACAATACAATTATTTCTGTTATCTTTTAGAAGAGTAGAGTCTCTATGCTAATTTTGTGACATATTGATCGATGGCCCTCTTTGTTTGTTTGAATTCAAATTGAATTGGAAGTTAATAAGAGTGTCTTCCATTTTGTTTCAGGAGTGATCATCGTCTTTGTTTTTCGATCATGCCTTTGGTTTTTATCCTTCTTTTGCATGGTGTCTTCTTGAGTTAGAAAATTTCCTAATTTCCTCTTATTCTTTCTATTCTCTTTTTTTAGCATTTGCCTTTTTTACCAATTACTTCCGTATCTCACTGAAGGTTTTAGTAAATACTGGCTTGCATGTTTCAAGAAAATGAGTTTGGAATGATAAACCTTTCTGTAATGCCAAATTTGAACTTCTGGTTCAATTTTGTTTACATGTGGGAGTGGGCACGATTTTTCTATGAAAATTCAATTTTAATTTAGCTGAGAGCAACGTGGTTTTATAGGTTCTGCTACCCCAATGGAGTTACTTTTCTCTATTAAAAACCAACTTTGTTATTAATGGACTAGGCCAACTTGTAATTGATAGTTTAGGATGGATTTGCATGATATTAGTTTCTATTTTATGTGCATTGCACTTGAATCATATATTAAACAAATACTATTTATCGTGTTCTGTCAGAGGTGGCAAAATGAACCTGAACCGCAAAACCTGCCCAAAAAAGCTCGAATTTAGACCCTTTTGAACCGGATTTGACCAAAAAGTCAAAGTCTTGAATCGAAAAAGCCAAATTTGAAATGGCCTCCCTGAAAACACTTGAATTTGAAATGACCTAAACCTGGAAAATCCGAACCCAAATTCGATACAGGCTAAAAAAATTGGTAAAATGGTAACATATTTGATAAAATTTAAAAATGACTTGACTAGTTTGAACCCGAAAAGATTTGAACTGGAAATGACTTGAACCCAACCTGTATCTGTCCCAACTTGCCTAATTGCCATCTCTAATTACAACGATATGAGCATTATAACATTAGAAGATGGTAAATATATTTTAATTAAAATTAAAGAAGGGTTATATTTATTTACATATTAAATGACACAAAAATACTGTGAAATATTTAGCATATCAGATTTCTCAGAAAATTATGTAGACTGATTATCTTTTACTTGAATTTTTTAATTGGTTTATAACAATTTATATAAAAAAGAATTGGTTTTGTAAAATTCAAAATTTATATTTGTAATTTGTATGACATTAGGAAAACCATAACAGAAAGAAAATTTTAGGTGCATGATAAAAGGTAAAAAAGCAAAATGGCATTTTTCCCACCCATTTTGTCTTAGGGAGCTTCTATTTTGCATCTTTTTTTTTTTTTTTCTTTTCACACTTCTTTTCAGAATCATTTCTAAATAAAATTACTTAATAACCTTTTTGGCCTTTCCCAAACCCCTTCCCACTTTTAAGCTTCCTGATTTGTGAATCTGGAAGCTTTTAGAAGTCTCTGGATTTGCAAATCAGAAGCTTTTAAAAGTCTCTTGATTTGCAAATTTAAAATCTTTTAAAAGTTTCCCGAATCCCATATCCTGAAGCTTTTAAAGTTTCTGTCTTATATTGTTTAAATCAAGAAAAAATTAAAGACCCACATACATAGGTTTTGTCTATCAATTTGTAAATGAGTTTATAATTATTTTAAACAAATTGTACTTTTCTCTGCAATGTTGTAAAAATTCTTCAGGATTTGCGATTTTTTCCTTGACTGATTTTGTTTCCTAATCTCTAAACCAGATATATTTATATATATATATATATATATTCAGTAAGTTATATAACTTATTGAATATGCATATCCAATAAGTTATAAAATTTATCAACATGCATATTTGAAAACTTTAAAATTGAGATGCGAAAAAAGTAATTAAGAAATTTTATCTAAAGATAATTTTGAAAAAAAAATGGGTGTAAAGAGAAAAAATGAAAGTGCATTTAGAAGCACCTTCTGGTGTTATAATTTTGCCAGCATCCAACAAAACTATAATTTTTTTGAGCAATTAACTCAATTGGCAACACACCTAATCAATAGTTGCAATAACTATCACAAGTGATTATAGATGATGTCAAAACATTTTTTGAAGCTTCACACATCGAACTCTGATGTAGGTCTCGAAATTTAATTAAAAAATGTCTTATTCTATTGATGATTTTTTATGTAATAAATTGGGATTCGAAAGTCAAAAATAAAATGCAGTGATTGGGGATGACAAACTCTAGCAGTAAGTGAAAATTTATTAGAAATAAAATATTAAGTGAAAATTTTTAGTCTTCACTAAAATTTCATATCACTAAAGCCCTGAATGTATTTTTTAGTCGGAACTCATTCTATCCTTTCTCAGATGCACCTACTATCTTACCACCTAATGTTGACGGGTTCTGTAGGTTGTGGAACTTGATTTTCTCTATCCAAGTGAGGGTATCCACAGACGTTGGGATAGTGGTTATAGAATCACATCAACAGCTGCAACTCCTGATCAAGCAGCTCTAATCTTAAGCATCCCTAAGCGAAAACCTGGTGATGAAACTCAGGAAACTCTCCGCACATCTCAATTTCCTAGCACACATGTTAAGGTAATGGTTCTGTTACTCTGTGTAATACTCTATGTTTATCAAACTTGTTATGCTCTATAAGCTTGAGAAGTTAATTTATATATATATATATATATTTATATATGTTGGCCAATAAGAGAAGCTAATATTTATTAATGAGAAAGATGAGAACTGGTATCCATCCCTTCAAATAATTGCCCCATAAACTGAAAAACATTTGTTAGTAGCACCATACAAGTGGTTTTAGTGTGTCTTGCAACCTTTTGATGCAATTCAATCTTGTTATACGTATTTTTCCTTACGGTAATTATTTCATATTATATTTACAATCTCTATTTTGGTTATTTTCATATGCATATATATATTTCATGTGAGTTTTGCTTTTCTGTGTAGGAAAAATGGGCAAAAAATCTCTATCTTGCCTGCCTATGCTATGGAAGGACTGTATCCTGAAATCAGTATCAGTGGTGGCAATTTTATGAGGAAAACAATTGAGTATTTTTTTTCCTTCCTTAAGTAGCCTTTTATCCTTGTCTGGGTTTTTTTTCTTTCGATGTTCCATGTTAAATGGAAAAAGGAATTTGGCAGGATTAAGGGAATTGTGTACTTATAATGTATCATATAATATATATATATATATAGATATATATATATCTCTTAATGAATGTGTTGTTTTCACTGACAATGTTTTGCTTGTAGAGTTGCACATTTTGGTATTAGACCAGATTCCTAATAATATGACTGTATTAGCAGCCATCCAATTTGCGGGCACATAAACAAAAACACGACTGCAGCAGAAGCGCAGGTGGGAAACCCGTGAACATTCTCAATTTGATTTGTTACCTCAAGATTCTACTATCCTCTTGGCCAACCAGCAACACTACCTCATCGCAATGGCTTCAGCTGCTACCATCGATATCAATGAGCGTGACAGAGTCCCCTCCCCAACGCTAAAACTTTGCCCAACTGTATCCGTTAAACATTATAGATGTTTTTAACCTAACTTGAGGTTCATAAAAAAGAAAAAGTTTTAAAAGTTCATAATTATAATTACACCTGGGAAAAAAAAAGATTAGTGTTTAATGAATAGCATAAAAATATTTAGCAAAAATAAAATTAGTCATGTTTTATCTAATTGTTTGCCTAGTACTCTTTTAGTGGAAGATCGAAAATACTTTCACTTTGGCGAACGTTAGTTATAGTGTAAAAATTAAATAAATGAAATGAAACTATTATTTTAACTAATTTTTTTTTAAAAATTAAATGAAATAAAGTGAAAAAATTGATCGAAATGAAAAAGGAACGTGGTTTTTTCTCAAAACAAAAAATTTTCATTATAATTTTATGAATCAACAAAAAATAATAATGTAAATGAATAGTGTGAAATATTGGACACAAGTTGTTTATACAAAAACCCTTTTTTTTTTTGTAATTATAAATTATAATTTCGATTAATAATCCACACCAATGAATTCAAACAAAAATACCTATGAAGCAAACCAATTTAAACCTAAAATTTTTTGTCACCAACAGTTATTGGTTTAAAATTAAAAAAAAAAAAAAAGAAGAAGAAAAACATAGAACATTTTCAAAAAAATTACACGTCAATTCATTAATGTCTTACATTAAAATGCCAAAATCCATGAAAATCAAAGCAAAAAATAAAAAATAAAAAAATAAAGAAAGCGTTGAATTTGAGCAATGGGGAATACAATTTTGATGGGTTCAGTTGTGTGCAGGAAAAGGAGGCAAACGCAGCACTGCTTCCTCTGTGTCATTGGGGTCCGATCTCAGTATCTGCCAACAGTAAAAACCAAAAAATTTCAAGAACCCACAAAAAGTAAGTGTAAGAAATTGATACTAATTATAACAAACACCCAAAAACAATATTATTTTGAAGCAAAGAAAGGGAGAACAGGAAAGGGGTTACTGGGTCTTGAAGGGCTGGCTTGGTGTCGTCTTTTGCAGGTCTGAAAGGGGGTTTGGGGGGCTTTTCAATCTTCACCTGGGTTTGGCTTTGGTTATTGTTTCTGATGGGTTTCATTAGAATCTCTGTTGCCTTCATTTTTTTTAATCCTTTTCTGTCACTGCTAATGTCAACTTTTGGACTTATCTCTGTCTCTTTATGCTTTTTTTTTTTTTTGGGAACAATGAATTTTGGCTGGAACGGTACCGTTTTTTTGTCTCTACAGTCTGAGAAATGGTTGTGGCTCGTAGTAAGACTGTTGTGTTTACAGCCAAGTAGTGCAGAGATTTGAGATAAAAGAACACGGGTAACTCTAAAATTGAACTTGAATACCGATTTAGTTTTTATTTTATTTTATTTTATTTTTTGATGCAATATTGAGGTAAGATAAAATTTCACAACACATTTTTGTATATTAAATTCATTATTATGTCTTAATTCCTAGTGATTTTTATTGTATTTACAAATATGTATTGACACATGAAAGTAAAATAGTCCATAACATTTTATCTTTAATTTAATTTTATCTTTATTTTAGTTGGTTTTATATGATAATACAACCATGCTATATGTACGTTGATTTTTATTTTAATTTTTTGAAAATATCCCAAAACATTATGAAAACAAGCTAAATATAGGAGAGATCGCAGCCAAAAACTCTTTGAATCTCAATAATAGGCAATAGCAGTCAATTTTTGATAGATTTTGAGCTGGACTGTTAGCTTCCCTCAAAACATGTTGGAACCTCCAATTTCTACACCCTAAAACTAAACCAGCTGCCATCCCCAATACCTCTCCTTCTCAAAAGGTAGGTTATGATGGACTCATTTCATTTATAGCCAACAATGAATCGCTCTACACAATTACATTATATCCCTCATTGCATGAATGGCAGCAATGGCTTTCATTTCTGTATAGAGAGAATTCACAATGTGGCTAATTAATTTTAGCGATAGCACTTAAACAGACCTTCCCCTCGGCAATCCTGCACCACATCCTAGAGTTGCCAGCTTATACTTTTTTTTTTTTTTAATTGAAAGCACCAAATACTTCACTGCACCAGAAACCTAGACTTACATTTCAGTCTCATTTAACTTTTCTATCCAAGCATGTCTACTTGAGTATAAGCACTAAGTAACATTTGTTGAATCTTTTGGCATGTAGGAGAAGTTAGGAATCTCAACTGTCTAGGTGGGGTGCCAACAGCCAATATATCCTCTGGATCTATGGCTGGCCCACCCATAAAAGTAAAACCTGAATGTCTAAATTATTTTTCAACTTCTGCAAGTTGCTTACTAGCAGCTACAACAATCACCAAAACCCCATAATTAGCAGGGAAACCAACACATAGTTTTGATTTGCTTGACAGGGAATCCCAGCATTGCCCTTTTGACCCTTGAAGGTGGTTGGTTAATTGAAGAGACATTTATCTGTCACCATTGCCCTTATATCACATTGTAGGGTTAGATTTCTATTTTCTACTGATCAGAGACATGGTGAAATATTCCTTCTTACAAAATTGGACTACATGACAAAAGTTGCAAAGAAACACCCCACCAAATAATTCTTGCCTCTATAACATTATATCAATCCTAACATACATCATTTATGGTACCCCTCAAGAAACTCTGAATCATTCTACTACTGAAGGCGGAATTCTTCATTTCCTCCATGGCTGCAGCCCTGAGATCTAGAAGTTCAACTTTTACTTCCTCAGAGCAATGGCTCCTAATGATTGTTTGTGGGTTCTTGGGTTATGTGGTTTATGATGCAATAATGGCCACAGCATCTGAGCTGCTGCAGCGTTTACTGGTAATCTCGCCTTTGCATCTGGTTGTTGTAGTTCACTGGATGTCTACAGGCAGTAATCTTAACTTCCCTATGCCAGGGTCAGAGCCTGGTGCCATCCATCGAGCAGGAGGCTCACCATGGGGTGTTACCTTTGTGCTGCTGCTTCTCTTCTTTCTCATATTTTACCACCCTTCCTTCCAAGACCTTATCTTTTAGGCATATATGTACTCATGGTTAGAAATATGTAGGTCTTTTTGATTATGGAAAGTAGGGAAGTTTTGCTTCAAATAATGTTACTGATAATTTTATGTGGAAAATGAAGCTAGCTAAGACAGAATCAGCTACTCTGTCAGACTTTTATTCTGTAAATTTTGTTGGCATGCTTTATGTTTTGAAGTAATAATAAATATAATGTTTTGTATATTGAACTCTATTCCCGATTTGCACTCTGTAGAATCTTTTCATGTGAATGAACTGTACATCTGCACACTCCATTATGTGGGAAAAAGGAATTGAAGAATCTGTTTCCTGATTCTATTTGCAAAGAAAAGAAGATTGGTCTACTCTTTTTTAGAAGGAAATTATTAATTAAATCTGGCTTCTGAATTTTTCAATGACTTTTGTAACATTCTTCAATTATTGGAAGATTACATAATTTCCGTTGCATAACAACCCAAGATTCCCATTTATATTATCTTATTTTCCTTCTGCTGCCTCAAAACTTCTCTTATAGTGCTTGATTTAAAAAAAAAAAAAAAAAAACCAGAATTTCTAGCTTTTCTCAATAAACTTTCTAATAATTTAGGTGATATTTGATTAATAAGATTACGATAGAAAGATAATATTATGAATAAAATTAAATTAAATAATGTCATCTTATCTTATATTTGATGTGTGTAAAGATTAAGATAGAATAATTTATCTATTGGTCAAAATTATACAATTTAAATTATTGATATAATTATTAAAGCTATAATTTGACATATAAATTTAATTTCATTGATTAAAAATAATCTTTTTCACTTGAAGAGATTAAATAATCACATGCCAATAGGATATTAATCATTCTTATAATCTTTATCTCTCTCTTTAGATACAAATCAAACGATGCAAAATGATTATCATCTTATCTTATTAATAATTCTATGCATCAATCATGATCTTAATATCCATGATTTACTACTTTTGCTTTCTAGCTAAAACATGATGATATTAATTTCCAAAAATTTTCCAAGCTCAATTACAATGAGTAAACTAAATATGGTACAATTGTGCCAACTGATTATTGGATTTGTTAACATGACGATGGAGCTAGTATTAGAGATTACAAGTTTAAAACAGTTTATGCCTATAATATTTTCAGTCAAATAAATATAAAAATAGAAAATTTAAAAGACAAATAAAAACTTAAAAAAATATATTGTGCAATGGCGATATGCTGTCCTACTATTCTAATTTGGCTTTTGAGAAGCCAGTGGAAACTTCAGTCAAAAGATCGTGCACTTAGGAGCACAGGGCAAGGACCATTGCCTCCATTAGTTAATCCCAAGCCACTCTAGTTTCTAGTCGTTTACAGTGAGAGTCCAAAGAGATAAGATACCACTTTAATGACAAATAAATTTCTGAAAATAACTTTTTGGATATTATTTCCATGATGAAATTGGTATGGTATATCATACCCAATACATGATGGGTCTGACCATAAATCTATAATTAAAGAGGAAGGTCGAAAGAACCTACCTCCTTTGATTTTCGGAAAGTTGGAGTTTTATTTTATTTATTAGAATTCCTTCTTTAATCGGAGGTGACTTGGAGATAATTATGGTTTGGTTTTATATACCACAAAGCTAAATTCATACGTATATTTAAAAAAAAATGAAGTTGGAAGAGTGAATATGACTTTTATTTTTATATAAAATGTGATAATGAAATATATATTATGCATAAATTAGCAAAGATTTAATATGTCTATATATTTGAAACAATATCTTCGATGAAGCTTTGTATTAGTGGCAAAAAGAAGCAGTGGAAGGTTGAAGTCACAGGTTCAAAATTTATCATATATGAGTTTGATTCAATTTTATATTGGATTTATCTATTATTGTATTGATTTATTGATTGATTGCTTTGATTTATTTTATTAATTTCTTAGATGGATGTAATTTATTATTATTATTATTATTATTATTATTATTGTAATGTAAAACTAATTAGTTATAAATCATTTTATAATTTCATGTATGATTAATATTTTAATAAATTGATAGTTAGATTTAACAATATACGTGTTATTCAAAAAAAAAAAAGTTCTCATACTTAAATAAAGTTTTAAACCAATCCAATATCTTTTTCATGTATAACGAAAATATTGTTTTTTTATCAATATATATTTAATGGTTGAAATTTTATTTTTAATTAATTTGAAATTTGGTGATTTATAAGAATAAAGCATGAAATAAAATGATTGGATTAAACAAATATAAATTATTTAAAAAAATTATGAAATGATGTAAACTAATCTAGTTTTAGATTGACGTAAGTAGATTTCTTCTCAAATATATATATATATATATGTATGTATGTATGTAAATATTTATATATATATTATATTTGAAAGACTATAAGACAATAAATTTCACATTCACAAATACCTTTACACTAAAATTGAAATTGAAATTCCTTCCTTTGAATCCAATTTACCACACATAATCTAAAGTTTTGAAATAATTATTTCTAGGTTTTCTTTATGGATTTTTCTCGTAACATTAATACCTTGAAATTGTCCTTGTAGTATTTTCAGAAAAAAAAAATTAATAATGATTTAATTTCCAAAAATTTCCTTAATTTTATCTAGCTCATTGACCGGAGGTAACATTATGATTACTTCACAAAAATTAATTTAGGAGTCTAGGATAGACTAACCATTATTATTGAATTTATAAGTTGAATTTAAGCATTCCTACAGCTAACGCAAAGGTTAGCTTAATAGTAGATTAAAATAATGTTTGGGTTTCTATTTTTTTATACTTAGGCTATTTGAATTGGAATTTGATCATTAAACTAATTATCCAACACTCTATCAATAGATGAGATATACCTCAATTGGAATTTGATCATTAAACTAATTATTCAACACTCTATCAATAGATGAGATATACCTCAGTGAGCTTCTCTTTTTACACTAGAACCTCAAGATGTGGAATCAAGCTAAGTCAAGTGATCTACACAATAGAAAAACATAAATTCAAACCTCCATTAATATGGTTAAGTGTATTTTTATCAAAACTCAAAAGGTTTTTAATCCATCATTTTATGTTGAATGTTTAATTTAGGACCTAATATTTAATTGTTTTTAAATTAAGATTATTATTTTTAATTTGATTCAATTTAAGATTAAATATTTTCGGATGTGTTTAAATATGGACTTTGTAATAGTAGTGTGGTGCACATGCCGTTAAGTCTAATATTAACTATTAAGTTTTTCTTTTTATCCATGAAAATGCTAGATCTTTCATTATTTTTAGAGAAAAAAGAAAAATTAACAAACTATACCTAAATATTTTCAACAAATTACTCAAAATCAAATCATTTTGAAAATCAATTCTTTAAGCATTTTTTCAAGATTATTATACTTTTGCAATTGTCTTTGCTTCTAAATTCATAGCTTTGGCTACATTTTTGTGCAATATTAAGAGAACAAAGGCAAACAAAGTAAAAGTTTTCGCTAACAAGGTTTTGGGTAATCAACAGTCAATGAGGAGGATCGGAAGAAAGAATTCGACAACCACAAAACCTAGCAAATTCGAACAATCAAGCAACCAAACAACAATCCTAACAAATCTAGAAAAAACAAAAGGAGTCAAACACAGAATCATCTAGTTGCAAGTATAATTAGTAATTACCTATAAGCAAACAACACAAAAAGAATCAAAGCAAGACAATCACAATAATAGAAAAACACAATCATACTTAGAAGTATTCAAAACAAAATAAAGAAAAATATTTTGCAAGTGAGTTTTTGTTGAGGGTTTGGATTTTAGTTATTTTTTTAGGGGGTTTTAATTCTAGGTTTATGCTAAGGAGGTGAAGGAGGAAATCTTCTATTATTTTTTGGTTTGTTTCAGTGGTGTCAAGTGGTGAAGATAGTGGTGGCAGTATTTGATTTTCGGTTTAGATCTAAGTGATCCTAGAGAGTTTTTGTAAAATCTAATCCAACCAAAGGAAATAGGAGATTAGGGAGAACAAAGTTGGTTCTTTATTTGGGTTTTTAGCATCAGTCATTGACAATAGGAAGTAGTGTATAAAGGTTAACACAATGATGCTTAGTTATTTTTTAGGTTAAGCCAGTAAGTGTTCTTGATTTTTTTGGGCTAAAGAGAAGTTGAAAAATTCTACTTTAGAAAGAGAAAAAAATCAAGTTTTAAAATTTTTTTTAACTTTTATATTCTTACCAAATAGTGAGTTTTAAATATATTAGTAAAATCTTAAATAAAAATGAATTATTTTTTTACTAATATAAAAAATCTAGGTAGTTTTTCCTAAAACTATTTGGTTTGTCTTAGATCTAAGCCTTCAACCGATGACTTCAAGCCAAAAAAATCCTCATTCATTGCTCCAAATGTCCTTATTTTCTAGTCTATTTTCCCTCTTTCTTTGGTCTTCATTTCCTTAAAATCCTAAGTCTCGAAACCTTTTCAAACACCATAAGCTGAAACTCTAAAAAAAAGACTTACTTTCTCTCTTTTTTTTTTATTTTATTTTTTGGATTTTTTTTTTGTATGGCTTGGTAGTTTTAATTTTAGGGTTATTTTCTTTTTGGTATTTTTTGCTTATGGTTGCTAGAACTATTTTTCTTTTTTTTTTTCATGGCTGTTATATGTGGTCTCGATGGCTAGGGGCTTTGGTGAAGTGTTCTTGCCTGAGTTGTGGTGATAGAGGGTAAGGCTATTCATGGAGGTGGTTTCCCAACTCATCATACTTGGTAGATTTTCAAAACATTTGAAAAAAGATTACAAAGGTTTTAGATAGAGATATAGAAAAAGAGCAAAATACATTATTTTTTTAAAAACAAGAAAAAAAGAATTTTTTTTTTTTTTTTGGGTTTAGATAGAGAAAAAATAGTGAATTGTTGAAGGAGGAATAGGAAAAAATAAAAGAAAAATGTTTGAAAATAATGAAAAAAAATCACAATTTTGGGCAAATAAATAATAAAACAAATTGTTGAGTATAATGTCACTTTTTAAACCTCATAAGGGATGTTAAATCTACCTCAAACTATAAAGTGGCTATATATAATTTATCCCAAATTTAAATAAT